GTGTGATCTCGGCTCATTGCAACCTCCACCTCCCAGGTGCAAACGATTGTTGTGCCTCAGCCTCCTGGGTAGCTGGGATTACAGGCACCCACCACCACACTGAGCTAATTTTTTTTTTTGTATTTTTAGTAGAGACGGGGTTTTGCCATGTTGGCCAGGCTGAACTTGAATTCCTGGCCTCAAGTGATCCACTGCCTCTGCCTTCGTCTCCCAAAGTGCGAGGATTATAGGCCTGAGCTACCATTCCTGGCTGACATTTTCTTTTTTCTAAGATGGAGTCTTGCTCTGTTGCTAGGCTGGAGTGCAGTGGTGCGATCTCAGCTCACTGCAACCTTCACCTCTCAGGTTCAAGCAATTCCCCTGCCTCAGCCTCCTGAGTAGCTGGGACTACAGGTGTACGCCACCACACCTGGCTAATTTTTTTTTATTTTAGTAGAGATGGGGTTTCACCCTGTTGGCCAGTCAGGTCTTGACCTCCTCACCTCAGGTGATCTGCCCACCTTGGCCTCCCAAAGTGCTGGGATTACAGATGTGAGCCACTGCACCTGGATTTTTTTTTGTTGTTGTGAAATTAGTGAGTGAGGAGCTAAAAAACACATTTATAAAGAGAAACAGCATCCCCTGTTGCATTTGAGAACGTTACCATTTCCTTCGAAGTTCCTGCTGTTGCCCCTCCCTGTGGGGCAGACACTGTCCTGTTTCAGTCGTTCCCTTGCTTTGCTTTATAGTTTTTTTGTGTTTGTATTGGCTTTGCATGTTTTCAAATTTATGAATGAAATCATGCCGAGTTTATTGTTTTACAGTTCGTCTTTCCACTCGAGCATGTTCCTGGGATGTATCCAGATTACTGTGTGTATATGGCATTCCTTTCCCCTGCTGCATAGTGATCTACTGAAAATACCACAATTAATTTTTCTATTTGGTTCCACTGGCCATTTTTTTCTGCCATGTGCCCTTTGAAAATCATCTAAGCGGTCTAGTCTTGGCCCTTGCTCTTCCATGTAACCTTGAGAATGAGCTTGTCAAATTCCCCCAAAAAACCCCTTCAGATAGAGAATGGAACCCAGTTGAATCTGTAGATCAATCTGGATGAAATCAGCATCTATGTACAATTGAATTTTCCAGTTCATGAGCATGGTTTATTTCCCCACTCAGTGTTTTCAATAAAGTTGCATACCTTTTCCCATAAAGATCATGCCTTTTTAAACTGGATTGATTCTTAAGTATTTTATGCTATTATACATGCACTATGAAAACAGACTGTGAGCCTGGGCAACTTAGCCAGACCTTGTCTCTACAGAAAACACAAAATTAGTGGGGTAGGGCACTGTGGCTCATGCCTGTAATCCCACAGTTTGGGAGGCTGAGGCGGGAGGATCCCTTGAGACAAGCCTGGACAACATAGTGAGACCCTGTGTAATTTTTTTTTTTTTTTTTTTTTTTTTGAGTCAGAGTTTCGCTCTTGCTACCCAGGCTGGAGTGCAATGGCTCGATCTCGGCTCACCGCAACCTCTGCCTCCTGGGTTCAAGCAATTCTCCTGCCTCAGCCTCCTGAGTAGCTGGGACTACAGTTGCACGCCACCATGCCCAGCTAATTTTTTCTGTATTTTTAGTAGAGACAGGGTTTCACCATGTTGACAGGATGGTCTCGATCTCTTGACCTCGTGATCCACCCGCCTGGGCCTTCTGAAGTGCTGGGATTATAGTCGTGAGCCACCACGCCCTGCTGATACCCTGTGTGTGTGTGTTTTTTTTTTTTTAAAAAGCCTTGTGTGGTGGTGCATCTGTAGTGTGGGGGATGGTGGTGGGCTGAGGTGGGAGGATGGCTTGAGCTCAGCAGGTCAAGGCTGCAGTGAGCTGTGATCATGCGGCTGCACTCCAGCCTGAGTGACAGAGGTAGACGCTCTATCAAAAAAAAAAAAAAAAAAAAAAAAATCTGTGTCCAGGGCAGGCATGGTGGCTCACATGTGTAATCCCAGTACTTTGAGAGGCCAAGGGAGGCGGATCACCTGAGGTCAGGAGTTCAAGACCAGCCTGGCCAACATGGCGAAACCCCATCTCTACTAAAAATACAAAAATTAGCCAGGCGCAGTGATGCATGCCTGTAATCCCAGCTACTTGGGAGGCTGAGGCAGGAGAATCACTTGAGCCCAGGTGGCAGAGGTTAAAGTGAGCCTGGATCATGCCACCACACTCCAGCCTGGGTGATAGAGAGACTGCCTCAAAACAAAAACAAACCAAGAGAAACAAAACTTGTGTCCAACAAACCAAAAACTTTTTTTTTTTTTTTTTGTAATTAAAGACGGGATTTCACCATGTTGGTTAGGCTGGTCTTGAACTCCTGACCTCAGGTGATCTGCCCGCCTTGGCCTCCAAAGTGCTTGGATTACAGGCGTGAGCCACCATGCCCAGCCAAACCAAAAACTTTTTTATTGAGATGGGGTCTCACTCTGTCACCCAGGCTGAAGTGCACTGGCGTGATCATGGCCGTCTGCAGCCTCTACCTCCTGGGCTCTATCAATCCCTTCCACCTCAGCCTTCTGAGTAGCTCAGACTAGAAGCATGCGCCACCATGCCCGGCTAATTTTTGTATTTTTTTTGTAGAGATGAGGTTTCACCATGTTTGAACTCCTGGGCTCAAGAGACCCTCTCACCTTGGCCTCACAAAGTGCTGGGATTACAGGTATGAGCCACTGAGTCCAGCCACCTTTTTAAATTTTTGTACCCTTTTCTTGCCCCTCTGTATGGGTGAGACTACTATATAATGTGGATTGCAGGTAGTAGACACTCTTGTTTCTCACTTTAGAATAAGATCAATATTTCACCATTAAATGTTTGTTATAGTTTTTTAAATTATTGGGCAGCTCTAATGTCAAATATTTTTTTTATTATTTTTTGAGATGGAGTGCAGATGGCATGATCTCGGCTCAGTGCAACCTCTGCCTCCCAGGTTCAAGTGATTTTCTCCTGTCTCAGCCTCTCAAAGTAGCTGGGATTACAGGTGCCTGCTACCATGCCCAGCTAATTTCTGTAATTTTGGGGCTTAACTGGCGTTCCGGAGAGAACAGAGAAAACGAAGTGGGGGAATCACCCACAAAACAACAGCAGCACAATTTCCTGCAGCTGAAGGATGCACATCTCCACCCACAGCACAGCAAATGATAGAAACACGTGGTGGCTCACACCTGTAATCCCAGTACTTTGGGAGGTGAGGCAGGCATTTCACTTAAGCCCAGGAGTTTAAGACCAGCCTGGCAAACATGGTCAAACACTGTCTCTACTAAAAATACAAAAATTAGCAGGACATGGTGGCAGGTGCCTGTAATCCCAGCTACTCGGGAGGCTGAGGCAGGAGAATCGCTTGAAACTAGGAAGTGGAGGTTGCAGTGAGCTGAGATCTCACCACTGCAGTCCAGCAGAGTGGGACTCCATCTCAAAAAAAAAAAAAAAAAAAAAAAAGAGATCAGGACTAAGAATGTAAGAATGGCATATCATGGAATTTCTCAACTGCATTATCTGAAGTTAGAAGACAAGGGAGTACTACCTGCAGGAAAAATATTTTCAACTTTGAATCTTATGACCCAGCCAAACTGTCACATATGTATGAATTAAATAAAGAAATGTTCAGACAAGCAGTGTGTTAAAATTCTTAAAAACTCTAATGACCTTTTTTTGGTGGGGGTAGAGACAGGGTCTCACCATGTTGCCCGGGTTGGTCTCCAGCTTATGGGTTAAAGCGATCCTCCTGCTTTGGCCTCTCAAAGGGCTGGGATTACAGGTGTGAATGACCATACCCGGCCTCTAATGACTTTTTTCTTTCTTTCTTTCTTTTTTTTTTTTGAGATGGAGTTTCTCTCGTTACCCAGGCTGGAGTGCAATGGCGTGATCTCGGCTCACCGCAACCTCTGCCTCCTGGGTTCAGGCAATTCTCCTGCCTCGGCCTCCTGAGTAGCTGGGATTATAAGCACGCGCCACCATGCCCAGCTAATTTTTTGTATATTTAGTAGAGACAGGGTTTCACCATGTTGACCAGGATGGTCTTTTTTTTTGAGACGGAGTTTCGCTCGTTACCCAGGCTGGAGTGCAATGGCGCGATCTCGGCTCACCGCAACCTCCGCTTCCTGGGTTCAGGCAATTCTCCTGCCTCAGCCTCCTGAGTAGCTGGGATTACAGGCACGCACCACCATGCCCAGCTAATTTTTTTGTATTTTTAGTAGAGACGGGGTTTCACCATGTTGACCAGGATGGTCTCGATCTCTTGACCTTGTGATCCACCCGCCTCGGCCTCCCAAAGTGCTGGGATTACAGGCTTGAGCCACCGCGCCCGGCCGGACCAGGATGGTCTTGATCTCTTGACCTCGTGATCCACCTGCCTCAGCTTCCCAAAGTGCTGGGATTACAGGCTTCAGCCACCGTGCCCGGCTTTTTTTTTTTTTTCTTTTGAGAGTTTCACTCTTTTTGTCCAGAATGGAGTACAGGGGCATGATCTCAGCTCACTGCAACTTCCGCCTCCCAGGTTCAAGCAATTCTCCTGTCTCAGCCTCCTGAGTACCTGGGACTACAGCTGCTTGCCACCATGCCTGGCTAGTTTTTGTATTTTTAGTAGAGACAGGGTTTCACCATGTTGGCCAGGCTGGTCTTGAACTCCTGACCTCAGGTGATCCGTCTGCCCCAGCCTCCGAAAGTGCTGGGATTACTGGCATGAGCCATGGCACCCAGCCTTCTGGCCACAAGTTTTTAAAGATATTTGAGGAAGTGTTTCACCAAATGAAGGCGAACTGAGAAACAGGAAGCCATGGGGCCCAGGAATCAGGATCTAGCCCAGGAGAGAGGCAAAAGGAATTTACCTGGAGAACAAATAGTCCTTAGTGAAATAGAGGATGAAGGAAAAGTGTCCAGAAAAAGAGGAGCTGTCAGATGGTGGGGGAAGAATTTGCAATTGGTCTATCAGAAAACAAAGTAAATGAGAAACTCAAGGCAACTCATTCACTCCATAAAAAAAAGTACAACAAAGTGAATTTAATTATATTCCAATTCTTGGCTCTGCAGTTAATAACTTTCACATAATAATAGAAATAGTATTCTGAGTGTTTTTTTTTAATCTAAAAACTAGGGATGGGGGAGGGGTACAAGAGCTAAAGCCTCATGTATGACAACAGGGAGTCAACAGGTAATGTCTAAGATTGATAAATCAAGCAGGAGTCATATAAGCACATTTTTAAAATACCTGAAAGAACTGGAAGTGACTGCTGGGTGGGGGAGCAGCACTAGAGAATGGGAAAGACTTTTCTTCTTGCAAACTGTGTAATTCATGTTAGTAAGTGGGGACACGTTTTTAAGTAAGAACGTTTTAGAAAGACACCAACTCTCCTTGTCCTAATGTCTGTAGCTTCTCTCTAGTGCATGTGCTGGGCACCCGGCACTGTTTCTTGCCTCATGTGGCTTTGTGAACACTTCCTGTCCACGCGGTGCGGTTCATGTGTTTCTTAGTGGTAGATACACAGCATTACATTATATAAACTGACATCAGTGCTGGGCATAGGTCTCCCATTTCATCCTCAGAAATAGCTATGATGAGAACCCAGATTAGACTTTTTTGTTCCCAGTTCTCAAAGTTCATAGCCTGATTGGGGTGAAAGGGATCATCTGGTCATCTGGCCCATCCCGTGACCCTGTCATGTGATAGTGCAGCCACCATTTGCACAGCTCCAGCAACAAGGGGCTCATCACTTTCTAGGGCAGGCCCTTCCGTCTCTGCTAAGTTCTTCAGGTTAAGTTGAAATCTGACAGCGACACTCCCTCTGCCCCAGGTCTTTCCACTTCTGGGTTATAACTCCTGCTTCTTCCAGCTGTGGCCCAGCAGGCTTGATCTAGAAACCCTCTGCCATCCTGACCCAATTGGTCTGTGTCTGCAAGTGGCCACACAGTGCAGAGTCCCTTGCTTCTTTTAGCCTGACCTCAGCTGCATCCCCTGAGAGGCACAGGGGTGGATGGTGGGCTGCATCACCTCAGTCCCCATGTCTTGGGCACAGCGGCTGCTGCCAGCAGTGGCAGTTAGCCAGGGGCCCTTAGCCTCAAGGGCAAAAGCTCTGCAGTTACTCCTGTTAAGTGTCAGTTTTCTGGAGTCAACTCCTCCTTCCTCCAGAGGGGCTGCCAAGCTCACAGTGTATTAGAGGTGAAAGAGTTTTGGAAACAATCTGGTCAAAGTGCCTTATTTTACATGTGGGAGACTGAAGCCCAGAGAGATCTGGTGACCTCCTAAAACCCTGAGCTGTGCATCACACTGCAGGGTGCACCTTGACAAGCAGGGGAAGATGCAGGTTTTTAGGGAGCAGGGCTCAGGGTGGCCTGTGAGGTGGGCCAGGCAGGCTAGCCAGGAGCTTAGGCCAGGTCTGTGGGTCTCAGCACAGGCCTTTGTTCAGTCTCCAGCTTTATTAAACACCTCTGGGGCCAGCCTTTCCTGCTCATTCTCACGATATGGCCACTGTCCTGGGAACTTCCCACTTACATGACTGATTTGGGCTCCAGGACATAGAAGGGCATCTATATGGGCAGTTCTGGACTTCTGCCTCCTGTGGCACTTCCCCAAAGCCCCAGAAACGCCTCTCCTTGTGCCCCTGGCCCTGGCTCTGCTCTGTCTCGCTCCGCCTGCCTCTCCTGGGGTTTCTTTCTGTGCATAAGCACCCCCATCAGGAGCAGCTGCTGTGTGATCTTTAGGAGCTCTAGGGGGGCTGAAGCCACCAGCTCCCTGTGGGGCACCATCTGCCCTCCTACACCCCCTTCTCCCTGGACAACCTTTGTGTACCATCATAGGCCTAAGAACGGCTGAGTCTAAGATTTCAGAGAAGCTTGCTGGAGAGAGGAGGGCTATTCCCTGGGCTTGCTCAGCTGTCAGGAGAGAAGAGAGCATGTGTTTTGCCTGCAAGCTGAATGGGCTGCAGCCTAGCCTCTGGATCGCCAGGGAGCAATAGGAGGCACACTCTCATCCAAGAAGAGCTGCTGATTTCCCTGGCCAGGCCTAGGCCAGTTTTGGCCTTGGCCTGCAGTGGGAGACGAGTGACGTGCATGAGGGATGTGGCAGTGGAGAATGGCTCCGCCTGTCCTGCTCATCTCACTTTGACCACTTCAGAGCTCTGTTCCAAGCTCAGGGTGGTTTCTGAAAAGGCTGGGGCGGGGGAGGGTGTAGCAGGAGCTCGGTGGACCAATGCCTGGTTGGTCCTGAAGGAGGAGTCGAGCCGCTTAGGGTACTCACTAACTGCTACTATAGGCCCAGTGGTGGGGGTGGTAAGAAAGGGGGTGCTTAGGAGAGGGGAGACAAGCTGTCACCCCAGCACACTGCTGCATCAGGAGTGGGCCTGGGGCCACTGAACCTGCCCGGTTCTCCCTGGCTGATTCCTCAGGGGTTTTCACAGCAGCCCAGGGCTCAGGTGGCCACCAGCCCCTCACTCCCGGGCATGTTGACGTGGGCACTCAGCAGGGGTGCGCTTTGGCCTTCTCGAAGGACCAGCACCTATGGAGGAGTGACCATGGCAGCGGGGGGCATGCACCCCTGACCCCTTGCCTGGTCTGCGCTGGCCACAGGGCTCCACTGTGCCGATACTCCCACCCCCACCTGGCAGCCCCTCAAGGGCTTTGTTGGAGCTCACCCTTACTGTCCTCCCCAGGGTCCCGCTGGCCCTCCACGTAGTACAGGTGTGGGACCTACCTTGATGATGTCTGAGATGCCCTTGTTACTGAGACTCTCCACAAAGGTCTCCAGGGGGTAGCTGAGCCCTGGCACCAGCAAGGGTACCTATGTTTGGGGACAAAGAAGTAAGGAAACCAGCTCACGTGCCAGTGTTTGGCACATTCCCAAGTGCATTCAGGCCCGCAGTCTCCGCTGACCCTCAGCGCCCCTGCAGGGTGGGCAGGACAATTGCTGGGTAGAGGAGGATGCAGGTACGGTGAGGAAGTGAATGTCCCAAGCCACACAGTGAGTGAAGAAACCTAATGTCTAGACTTCCACCAAGTCTGGGGCTGTTTACTGCATATTGCAGTCTCTCCGTCTTGGGGTCTCCCAAGTTGGGGTCAGACTTGGGCCCTGGGGGAAAACCAGGCCTTCACTCTATGGGCGATGCTCTCTGGGGCATAGAGGCTCCTGTTTGTGTTGTAGGAGTAGCTGGGAAGCAGGGTGGGCTCTGGGATCCCCCAGACTCCAACAGGCTTCTGGGAGGTGTAGCTGGGGCTGGGGCTCAGGCTCTGGCGGTTTTCCCAGCACCTTCTATGTGGCTCTTGGAGACCCCTCACAGGCTGCAAGAAGAACAGCAGAGGCGGGGCTTGAGTGCTCCCTCCAGAGGCCTCTGCTGGGGCCTTGGCCTGGTCTGTGGTGGGAGAGTAGGTCTGCTGGCCACCTCCCAGCCACCCGCATGCTCTGACCCTGACCTGCCAGGGCTCTGTGGGCATCTCATTGGCCCCCTGTCCTGGCCTTTTTTACTCTAAGTGAGGAGAGTTCAGTACCTTGAAGAAGGCCCGGGGCAGGGCATAGAGCGCCTCGTTGTACAGGAAGCAGATCAGCAGCCCCAGGATAGGACGGGCTGTTGAAGTGTTCTGCAGGTGAAGTGTGAGCTTAAAGGTGGGGCCAAGGCCCTGAACCTGTGGAGGGGGCAGGTAGAGAAAGCCCTTAGGACCTGGCAGCCTTGGGCACAAAGTACAGTGTGCCCTGCCTGCCTTCCACTAATGCCCTCATATCCCCTCCTCCTACTAAATCTGCCCCCACAGACACAGAAGACCAGACGGAGCACAGGGATCAGAAGAGGCTGGAGAGGGTGAGAGCCTGAGGGAGGTCATACAGCCTGGGACTGCAGGCCCCGACTCCCACCTGAGCCCGTCACCCCAACCCTTGCCTGTTTCACCTCCCACTCTCATCCTAGGGTAGCCTTGAAGATTTCACTGTTCTCTCGCTCTCGAGTCACCTTGTAGCCTCGTCCTCCTCTGCATCTATCCACTGTCTTTAGGAAAAGAGAAATCGGAACCCAGTTGGGTCAGATGCCATACCTCAGGGACCCATTTGGAGCTGGTCGGAGCCTTGCTGACCCTAAGCTAATTTTCGTCTGAGCCTGTGGACTCCTCTCCTTGTGCCTGTGCTAGTCTCGGTGCCTATGGGTCAGGTCGGGATGGCCCCTTCCCTGTACCGGGCAGTCCTAACATGTTACCAAAGTGACAGCCTTCTTTCCTGTACTATAGCTATAGGGATCCCTCCAGGTTCCTGGGAAGAAATATCCCCATGTGACTACTCTGGGGGCCTGTGTGAGGCACAACATGGAACAGGGAGCTGGAGAGTGTCCCATCACATGGCCAGCTGAGGGGAGAGGTGGCACAGGAGGGCAGGAAGGTGAGGGCAGCTCTCACAAAGGAGAACATGAGACTCAGTCCCTGGGTCTGTGGGAAGGTGATGGGGGGCACAGGCTGAGTTGGCTTGGAATCAGCTCTGGGGCTTAGCTGTGTGGCAGAGGGGTTCCTGTGCACCCCAGCCTCTGCCCCCCTGGCCTGACTCCACCCTCACCCAGATGCTCACCATGGCATGCAGCTTCAGTGGCTCCCGGGCTGTCACAGACACGGGGCTCAGGCTGGACTCAAGGGCCTGCAGGTAGGTGCGGGCAGCCCGCAGGCGCAGCAGGTAGAGGTCTGTCTGGAAGGCCCGGTGCATGGCTGCAGAGAAGGGGCACAGAGGCTGGTGGTGGAAGTGGGGGGTGGCAGGGAGGAGACAGGAACAGGGGGCACTCTTGCTCAGGCTGTGGGGAGGGTGCAAGAGGAAGGTGCTGCGGGAGGGGTCTGCAGGAACTGGGGACGTGGGAAAGAGCTCAGCCTCTGGCAACACTGGACGAGGTGGGCTTGCCCTGCCTCTTCCTTGCTCCCCTACCACCTCCTGCCTGCACTGTCTGGCTCCTTTGCTGGCTCCTCTGTCCGGCCCTAGAGGCTGGTGTTCTCCTGAATCTGGTCCAATCTTTTCTCATCCTCCATTTTCTTCCCCCAGACAATCCATGTCCTGCCACAGCTCTGACCACCACAAAGAGGAACAGCTGCAAGCTCCTGCGGGCAGGTTCTGCGTCCCTCCTGAGTTCTTATTGCACGTGTGTCCCCAGAGCTCAGCAAGCACTGGGCCTGCCTCCTGCTCATGTCCACAGGGAGGTCCCATCAACACCTCAGGCTCAACGCGACGGAAACCAGCCTCATGGTCCTGCCTCCATCACTCCCTCCCTGTCCAAGTCACCTAGGTCCACTCCTCACAGTTCACCATTTGCAGTATCATTTGACTCTTCCCCAAGCTGCCTCCAGAGATCACCCTGCCCTCACCCCACTGTCTCTCTTCCAGACTGAGCACCTTGGTCCTCCAGGATGGCTTCACTCTTCCGTGTGTGTGAGATGGCTTCTGCCATTCAGGAGATTACATTTTAGTTATCCCACCTATTCACATGTCCTTTTTCTCCAGTACTTTTACTATTTATTTATTTATTTATTTATTTTTTTTTTTGAGACGGAGTTTCGCTCTTGTTACCCAGGCTGGAGTGCAATGGCGCGATCTCGGCTCACCGCAACCTCCGCCTCCTGGGTTCAGGCAATTCTCCTGCCTCAGCCTCCCTAGTAGCTGGGACTACAGGCACGCGCCACCATGCCCAGCTAATTTTTGTATTTTTAGTAGAGACGGGGTTTCACCATGTTGACCAGGATGGTCTCGATCTCTTGACCTCGTGATCCACCCGCCTCGGCCTCCCAAAGTGCTGGGATTACAGGCGTGAGCCACCGCGCCCGGCCCAATTTATTTATTTTTGAGACAGAGTCTGTCCTTTTTCTCCAGTACTTTTACAATTTATTTATTTATTTTTGAGATGGAGTCTCACTCTGTTGCCAGGGCTGGAGTGCAATAGCACCATCTCAGCTCACTGCTACCTCTGGCTCCTGGGTTCAAGTGATTCTCCTGCCTCAGCCTCTCAAGTAGCTGGGATTATAGGCGCCTGCTCCTATGCCCAGCTGTTTTTTTGTATTTTTAGTAGAGACAGGGTTTCACCATGTTGGCCAGGCTCAAACTCCTGACCTTGTGATTCACCCGCCTCAGCCTCCCAAAGTTCTTTCTTTTGGAGATGGAGTTTTGCTCTTGTTACCCAGGCTGGAGTGCAATGGTGCGGTCTCGGCTCACCGCCGCAACCTCCGCCTCCTGGGTTCAGGCAATTCTCCTGCCTCAGCCTCCTGAGTAGCTTGGATTACAGGCACGCACCACCATGCCCATTTTTAGTAGAGACGGAGTTTCACCATGTTGACCAGGATGGTCTCGATCTCTTGACCTTGTGATCCACCCGCCTCGGCCTCCCAAAGTGCTGGGATTACAGACGTGAGCCACCGCGCCCGGCCCCTCCCAAAGTTCTGGGAGTGAGCCACCGTGCCCAGACCTACCATTTATTTTTAATCTATCCAGAACTAATTTTTGTGGCTGCTCTGAATAAAAGGTCTAATTTTCTTTTCTAGAAGCAAGTTGTCCTATTCTGTTTTTGGATAGTCTCACATTTCCCTGCCAATTCGAAATAACACCTTTTGCATACTCTGACTTTCCACATGTTCAGGGTCTGTTTCTGGACTTCCTAGACTTGCCCCTGCTCTCTGTGTCTATTTCTACATCCACACCACAGCTACTGATTCCTACAGCTTGAGTTCATTTTGCTACCTGATAGGGTAAGTCCCCTTAGTCTTATTTTCCTCAAACTTCTTAGGTTTACTCTTTGAATCAACTGGCCATGTCCTTAAAACAAACCCCACTGGGATTTTTTTTTTTTTTTTTTTTTTTTTTTGAGACGGAGTTTCGCTCTTGTTACCCAGGCTGGAGTGCAATGGCGCAATCTCGGCTCACCGCAACCTCCGTCTCCTGGTTTCAGGCAATTCTCCTGCCTCAGCCTCCTGAGTAGCTGGGATTACAGGCATGCGCCACCACGCTCAGCTAGTTTTTTGTATTTTTAGTAGAGACGGGGTTTCACTATGTTGACCAGGATGGTCTCGATCTCTCGACCTCGTGATCTACCCGCCTCGGCCTCCCAAAGTGCTGGGATTACAGGCTTGAGCCACCGCGCCTGGCCCCCACTGGGATTTTAACTGCAACTTTACTATGCTTCTCAATTAATTTCAGAAGAATCGACAGCTTTACAGCATTAGGTCTTCCCATCCTACAACTTGATATATCTGTCCACTTAAGCATTCTTGAACATGGTCTTTTCTGTTCTTGAAGACAGTTTCACAATTTTATTAGACTTTGTACATTTTCTTTTTCTTTGAGACAGAGTCTCAGTCTTGTTGCTCAGGCTGGAGTGCAGTGGTGTGATCTTGGCTCACTGCAACCTCCACCTCCTGCGTTCAAGCGATTCTCCTGCCTCAAACTCCAGAGTAGCTGGGATTACAGGCACGTGCCACCGTGCCCAGCTAATTTTGTATTTTTAGCAGCATGTTGGTCGGGCTTGTCATGAACCCCGACCTCAGGTGATCTGCCTGCCTCAGCCTCCTAAAGTGCTGAGATTACACGCATGAGCCACTGTGCATGGCCTGCTCTCTTGAATCCAGGTCAACGCCCTGTGCCTCTGCCTACATTACCCTGCCTTGCCCTGATGGGGTCTGGCAATCATCTCTTAGGGTAAAGCCCAAAATCACCTCACTCTTAAGCCTTTTCCAAGCTTCCCAGGCAGAAGTCCTTACTTCATGTGCTCCAAAAGCTCTTTGCAGAAACCCCTTCTATACCTGAACATGAAGTTGGCCATGTAGACTGAGTTCCTAAGGTAGGGACTATTCTTTTTTTTTATTTTTTGAGACAGAGTCTCACTTTGTCACCCAGGCTGGAGTGCAGTGGCGTTATCTTGGTTCACTGAAACCTCTGCCCCCTGGGTTCAAGTGATTCTCCTGCCTCAGCCTCTCTGAGTAGCTGGGATTACAGGCGCCTGCAAACTCGCCCAGCTAATTTTTGTATTTTTACTAGAGACGGGGTTTCACTGTCTTGGCCAGGCTGGTCTTGAACTCCTGATCTTATGATCTGTCCACCTTGGCCTCCCAAAGTGCTGGGATTACAAGCGTGAGCCACTGTGCCTGGCCGGTAGGGACTATTCTAATTAAAGACACCTGGCACAAGGCCTGGTGTAATCATAGGTACTGAATAAATGAATGAATGAATGAACAAATAAACAAATGAGCAGGAAAAACTGGACAAGAGGACACAGTCAAATTCTACTTTTCTCGCTCTCCCTTTTTTTTTTTTTTTTGAGAAAGAAGTATCACCATGTTGCCCAGGCAGGTCTTGAACTCCCGGGCTCATGCTGTCCTCCCACCTCTACAGGCATGAGCCACTGTGCCTGGCCAAAATTCTGCTTTCCTCATAATAATTCCTGCATTTGGAAGTGACTGTTCCCTTTCCTGAATTCTAAGGCTCCTGCCGTCACCCACAGCACCTTCCACCCTGAGAAACAGTGATTTGCAGGCAAGGTGTACCTCCTAGGCTGTCCCTGGATTTCCAGAGCCACGTGACCTGCCTAGTTGGCCGAGGTCTCCTCCCAGTGTGCAGGGTGGCTGCACAACATTCCCTCAGCTTTGCTATGGAGGAGGAAGAAGAGAAAGGACCCAGTCTGAGTCCTACCGGTGCCAGCCTCCCGCTCTCGCAGTGTCTGATCCACATAAAGCCGGGTCTTGCGGGGCACATTGAGTTTCATGGCCTGGGCTGGTGGGGGACCCAGCTCACTTCCTCCCTCTACAAACACTGCTGTACGCTTCAGGATCTTGATGATCAGTCCGCCGCCTAGGGAAGTGGACAGTGGAAATAGATTTGTTCTCCCCAGTTCTATCCTGCATTCCCACTCCTATCCTGCATTCCCACTCTTTCTTCCCCAATTTGCCTCCTATAGAGCTGTTTCTGTACACATCTGTCTTCCAGATGAGACTGTTTCTGGAAGGAATGAAGTGTATCTTAATAGTCTCCCATCATTAATTCATTAATCCACTTAGCAGTTATTTGTGGAGTACTAGGATGTTCTTGGCATTGTGGCAGGCACTGGGGATGCTGGGTGAACTAGAGAGATAGAATCCAGCCCAGGACCCAGCCACTGGGTAGCTATCTGATGAGCTGTCCCGTGGAGATCTAACCCTGGAAGGACGCATCTGTACACCTTGCTTTCCACACCCAGGTCTGCGCATGCTTCATACCCACCTCCTCCTCTTTCCCCAGAAGCTGGCGTACCCCTTCACTCCCGACTCCGGAGCCCTTAACAGGTGTGACTCACTCACCTCGTGTGGTCATGATGAGGGTGTTGTCCTCCCGCCCATAGCGGCCAAAGCAAAGGCTGGTCACTGCATCCTATGTGGAAACGTCAGAGTTTAGTTGGGGAACTATCTTGGAGAGGAAAGCAAGAGCTGAGATATAATAGGTGAGAAGTGATAAGAGATAGTCCTGGGGCATCACTGCCTCTGAAATATTTTCTATATTCTCATCTCCCCTCCAAACTCACTACCACAGTTCGAGACCAAATATCACTGGCCCTCACTTTTGGGGTCAACCTCCTAATAGGTTTCCCAGCCTCATCTTTCTGGTCTTTCACCCCAGTCTGTCCTTCACAATCTGCCTTTGCTGCCTTTCGAAAACACAAACATGTCTGGTCTCTGCTAGAAAACCTCTAACGGCTTTTGTCCTCTTTGTTAGGACACTGAAGGCCTTCCACATTTGACTCCAACCTGCCTTTTCCATCAGTTCTCTCTTTCCCCTTGTTTCAACCAGCAGACCACTGGCTCTCTCAGCACCTACGGCCCAAGCCAGTTGTTTTCAAATTTTATATTGTGACACAGGACAATTTACACACAGAGGTGCACATGCACACATACGCACGTTTCACTTGTAACATACTTTCATTTTTGAGATGGAGTCTCATTCCATCGCCCAGGCTGGAGTGCAGTGGTGCAATCTTGGCTCACTGCAGCCTTTGCCTCTTGGGTTCAAGCGGTTCTACCTCAGCCTCCTCAGTAGCTGGGATTATAGGCATGCACCACCGTGCTCAGCTATTTATTTTTGTTGTTGTTGTTGTTGTTTTTGTTTTGAGATGGAGTCTTGATCTGTTGCCCAGGCTGGAGTGCAGTGGAGTGATCTCAGTTCATTGAACCCTTCGCCTCCCGGGTTCAAGCAATTCTCCTGCCTCAGCCTCTGGAGTAGCTGGGATTACAGGCATTGTGCTACCACACCCAGTTAAATTATGTATTTTTAGTAGAGACAGGGTTTCACCATGTTGGCCAGGCTGGTCTAGAACTGTGATCACCTGCCCTGGCCTTCCAAAGTGCTGGGATTATAGGTGTAAGCCACTGGGCCCGGGCCTCACTTTTGACATACTTTGAATTTACTATTCTATTTTTTTTTTTTTTTTTGAGACAGAGTTTCGCTCTTGTTGCCCAGGCTGGAGTGCAATGGCGCGATCTCGGCTCACCGCAACCTCCGCCTCCTGGGGTCAGGCAATTCTCCTGCCTCAGCCTCCTGAGTAGCTGGGATTACAGGCACGTACCACCATGCCCAGCTAATTTTTTGTATTTTGAGTAGAGACGGGGTTTCACCATGTCGACCAGGATGGTCTCGAACTCTCGACCTCGTGATCCACCCGCCTCGGCCTCCCAAAGTGCTGGGATTACAGGCTTGAGCCACCGCGCCCGGCCTACTATTCTATTTTTAAAAATGTTGCTGGTTGTGATCCACTAAACTAATTTATTGACTCACAACTTAGAGACTGAAAACCTCTGGTCCAAACTCATCAAATGACCTTAATCAAAAGCCTTCATATTTCTCAGGCTTTGTTCGTGCTCTTCCCTGTGCAGAATGTTCTTCGTCCATTTGACAAACTGTTTTGAGTCCCAGCTGAACTGTCACTTGTTCTGTGAAGTATCCCATGAAGTCCATCCCCATTTATCTCACCCCCTACTCTTGTTACTCAGCTGCCTCTGTGCTTTTTAGCACTTTGCTCAGCTTTAGTTGGCCCTGCTTTTAAATTTGCTGTTACCTTAGACTGCAAGCCTCCTGAAAACAAGGACACCTCCTCCCACACCAATATGGTAACTTGTACACATGAGGTGCACAACACATTTTTTTTTTTTTTTTTTTGAGACGGAGTTTCGCTCTTGTCACCCAGGCTGGAGTGCAATGGCGCGATCTCGGCTCACTGCAACCTCCGCGCCACCATGCCCAGCTAATTTTTTGTATTTTTAGTAGAGACGGGGTTTCACCATGTTGACCAGGTTGGTCTCGATCTCTCGACCTTGTGATCCACCCGCCTCGGCCTCCCAAAGTGCTGGGATTACAGGCTTGAGCCACCGTGCCCGGCCTTTTTTTTTTTTTTAAACACAGGATCTCACTCTGTTGCCCAGGCTAGAGTGCTATGGTGCAATCTCGGCTCACTGCAACCTCCTTCTCCCAGTTCAAATGATTCTCCTGCCTCAACCTCCTGAGTAGCTGGGATTACAGACATGCACCACCATGCCTGGCTAAGTTTTATATTTTTAGTAACGATGGAGTCATGCCATGTTGGTGAGGCTGGTTTTGAACTCCTGACGTCAGGTGATCTGCCCACTTTGGCCTCCCAAAGTGTTGGGGTTACAGGTGTCTACAAACGTTTTTGAAATGCATCAATGTATGGTCAGGAGAGGCAGCTAAGAAGCCCCAGAGGTGAGACTAGGGCAAGGAAGAATAAGCGGCAGATGCTGGAGATGGGGCTCACCGGGGTGCGGATGACATTGAGTAGGGCCTTGTCACGATAAATGCGGACCTCTCCATTGGCCAGCCCAGCCATGACAGCCTGCAGGCCCCGGGAATGCTGCTCCAGGAGGTTCATGGTCAGGATTGCTGCGGGCATCGGTACTGTCCACAGCTTCTTCCCCTGGCAGGGAACAGCCAGTGTCTGTGAAGGGCTCAGGGCTTACAGTGGAAAGAAGGGTTTCTGGGGTGGGGAAGCCAGAGGGCTTTCTTGCCAAGGGGGTGCTGGGGACATAGGCATGGAGGGGCTGCTGCTTCCTGGGGGCTGCACCTTGTGGGTGAAGCCGTGCAGGCTGTCTTGGGTGCTGCCCACCACCAGGATCTTGTGTACTCGGACAAGTCCTACAGGCTGGGCGCTCAGCTCGATGCAGTACTTGGGGTGCTTGGAGTCTCTGTGGAATAAATGACACATTGTCCAGCCCCAAGAAATCCTCTCTCCACTTCCATGGCTGACCCTCCTCTTTCTAAACCCTATGGACTCACCTGGGAGGAACACTGGCCCCAAAGCAGATGACCTTGGGATTATTTCCACCTCTGCCACCTGAGTAAATGTGTGGCCTTAGAAACATCAAGTGTGGTCTCCTACTCTGTTTTCCTCCCACCTTTACTATGGTGGCTTGTATGATCATCTGGCATTTAACAGTTTTCAGCGAGTTTGCCTAAGGCCGGACTAGCCAGGACAAGTGGACTTAGGCAGTTTACTAACTTATGAGAAAAGGATGAAGAGCTTTGCCCTGTGTCAATGCAGTTTTTTTTTTTTGAGACGGAGTTTTGCTCTTGTTACTCAGGCTGGAGTACAATGGCGCAATCTCAGCTCACCGCAACCTCCACTTCCTGGGTTCAGGCAATTCTCCTGCCTCAGCCTCCTGAGTAGCTGGGATTACAGGCACGCACCACCATGCCCAGCTAATTTTTTGTATTTTTAGTAGAGACGGGTTTCACCATGTTGACCAGGATGGTCTCAATCTCTTGACCTCGTGATTCACCCGCCACGGCCTCCCAAAGGTCGATGCAGTTTTTAGTTTACTGGCCTCTCAATTTTAGTTTCCCTTATCTAGAAAGTACAGTTAATTCCTCCCTACTTGAGAAGCACATGCCAATGTCTTTCCCTCTTTGAGTTTCCCTACAACACTCTTCTCCCACTTTCTCAACAACTGCTTCCTTCTGTTTTTTTTTTTGAGACAGAGTTTCGCTCTTGTTGCCCATGCTGGAGTGCAGTGGCATGATCTTGGCTCACCACAACCTCCACTGTCTGGGTTCAAGCGATTCTCCTGCTTCAGCCTCCTGAGTAGCTGGGACTACAGGCATGTGCTACCACACCTGGCTTATTTTGTATTTTTAGTAGAGATGGGGTTTCTCCATGTTTGTCAGGCTAGTCTCAAACTCCTGACCTCAGGTGATCTGCCTGGCTTGACTTCCCAAAGTGCTAGGATTATAGGCGTGACTCACCACGCCTGGCCAATTGCTTTCTTCTTAACCTTCAAGCCATCTCCACAGACAGGTGTTCCTGATCATCCTTACCCATTATTTTTCCCCAATGAGCTTGTATTTTTTCTCCATAGCACTCATCCAATTTTTAGTAATATCTTGGTTTCTTGATTTTAAAACATCTGTGTTCCCCATGAGGACAGGGAGCATATTTATCTTGCTCATCAATATATCCCTAATACCACACACTGCATAATGCATTAGTAGGTGCTAAATAAATATTTCTTGAATTAAAAAAATGCACGTTATATGTGATGTTAAACTAATGCATAAACAATGTCATATACCCTGGAAAGTAACAAATGTGGGAAATTATTTTATTTCCTCCCATCAATTTCCTTTTTTTTTTGAGACAGAGTCTTGCTCTGTTATTCAGGCTGGAGTACAATGGTGTGATCTCAGCTCATTGCAAGCTCTACCTCCTGGGTTCAAGTGATTCTCCTGCCTCAGTCTCCCAAGTAGCTGGGGCTAGGGGTGTGTGCCACCACACCCAGCTAATTTTGTATTTTTGGTGGAGATGGAGTTTTACCATGTTGGCCAGGCTGGTCTTGAACTGACCTCAGGTGATCTGCCTTCCTCGGCCTCCCAAAGTGCTAGGATTATAGGCATGAGCCACCGCACCTGGCCTATCTTCTCATTTCTGATCACATCACTCCCGTACTATAGTCACTCAGCCTAGTCTCTCACTTTGCCAGCCCATCTCACAAGCCTACAGGTAGCCTCCCTGGGCTTGCAGGCTCAGCCTCCTTCATGAAGTTCTCAGCTCTTTACATTTCCAAATTCCAGCCTTAAAGCCCATTCTCATCATGCAAGCCTCTGAAGCCCTCAGTTTTCTGAGATGTTCCTCCCGGCCCCAGAGACCAGAGATGTGGCTACCTTCTCAGAATATAGATGTTTCCATTGCGGCAGGCCGCGGCAAGCCGGAATTCGACATCAAACTGGCCGGAAACCTCTAGGAAGACGGGGACGCTGGGAAGGCTCATCTGCAAAGAAGAGGCGCAAACACTCCAATCTCTCAGGAGTCCCCGTCCCTCCCTGCCCTGACAGTAACTCCTCTGAGTGAATGCCTGGTCTAAAGTCCCAATATCCTCACTCGCACCCAGTTTAAACTCATACAGTTTTTCAAGAGAGGGCAACATTTAGCAAAAGCCTTTTAGTCTGTGCCTTTTGACTAAATGATGCCACTCCTAGGACTGCATTCTAAGGAAGTACTTAAACAACCATGCAGCCAGATTCGGTGGCTCATGCCTGTAATCCCAGCACTTTGGGAGGCTGAGGTGGGTGGATGGCTTGAGCTCAGGAGTTAGAGACCAGCCTGTCCAACATGGTGAAACCTCGTCTCTACCAAAAGTACAAAAACTTAGCTGGGCGTGGTGGCCTCCATCTGTGGTCCCCACTACTTGAGAAGCTGAGGTAAGAGGACTGCTTGAGCCCAGGTGGTAGAGGTTGCAGTGAGTTCAGATTGTACCACTGTACCTCAGCCTGGGTGACAGAGCAAGACTCTCTCTCAAAAACAAACAAACAAACAAGCATGCAAAGATATTTGGGTAAGTAAGTTTGTAGCACTGGTATTAACAGGAAAAAAAAAAACAAAAACAAAAACAAAACAATTTAAATGTATAATAGGCAAAAAACGAAAAACAATTTAAATGTACAATAGGTGGCAGCGTAAATAAATTATGGTACCTCTATATAATAGATATTGTGTGGTCTTTAAAAAGGCTGATGTGGGGCCAGGTATGGTGGCTCACACCTGTAAGCTCAATGCTTTGGGGGACTGAGATGCGCAGATCACTTGAGGTCAGGAATTCAAGACCAGCCTGGCCAACATGGTGAAACCCCATCTCTACTAAAAATATGAAAATTAGCTGGGCATGGCGGTGCAGGTGGCTGAGGCATGAGAACTGCTTTAACCTGGGAGGTAAGTTGCAGTGAGCTGAGATAGAGCCACTGCACTCCAGCCTGGGTGACAGAGTGAGATTCTGCCTCAAAAACAAAAAACAAAACAAAACAGGCCGGGCGCGGTGGCTCAAGCCTGTAATCCCAGCACTTTGGGAGGCCGAGGCGGGTGGATCACGAGGTCGAGAGATCGAGACCGTCCTGGTCAACATGGTGAAACCCCGTCTCTACTAAAAAGTGCAAAAAACTAGCTGGGCATGGTGGCGTGTGCCTGTAATCCCACCCACTCAGGAGGCTGAGGCAGGAGAATTGCCTGAACCCAGGAGGCGGAGGTTGCGGTGAGCCGAGATCGCGCCATTGCACTCCAGCCTGGGTAACAAGAGCGAAACTCCGTCTCAAAAACAAAAACAAAACAAAACAAAAAAACAAAACAAAACAAAACAAAAGGTTCAGGTGGTTTTACAGATATAGAAAGACACTGATGATATGCTGCTATATGAAAACATGTTACATGATCCTCCTGCTTTTATTTATTTATTTGTTGTTTAGAGACAGGGTCTTACTCTGTCACCCAGGCTGGAGTGCAGTGCCACAATCATAGCTCACTGCAGCCTCAAACTCCTGGGCTCCAGCCATCCTCCTGCCTTGGCTTCCTAAAGCACTAAGATTAGAGGCATGGGCCACCACAACTAGCTAATCCTGTTTTTATAAAGATAAATATTTACATAAAGTTATATATCTATGTCTAAATATGAAAATGTCTAGAAGGACCTATGCCTCAACCTTAACAGTATACATCCATGGGTGGTAGGATTTTTGGCTATATATCTTTCTTTATGCTTATCTAGTTTCTAATTTTTCTACAATGAACATACATATTACCCAGAACAAACTGCGGAGCATGGGGAGAGAATGAAGCCTGGGCCCCCAGGGTGCCCAGGGCCAGACCTGACACTGACCTTGGCTAAAACGGTGAAGGCCTCGGGGTCAAGCACCAGGAGCTCCTTGTTCTCAGTGCCCAGCACCAGGCAAGACACAGCATCCTCGTCAGCCAGGTTCTTCTTCAAGGTGGTCATGGTGGTGATGACTGTCTACAGAAGGACTCCAGGGGTCACCCAGGGAACCCCCACATGCCACCCCCAAGATACTCCCAGGATGTCACAGGAGGGAAGAAAGAGGGAAAGGAGGATGAAGAGGAAATATCAGAGATGTGACAGAAGATTTAAGTACGAAGGTGTTTATTGCAACAAATCTAACTTTCTAACAAAAGAGGATTGTCTAAGTCTATTATGAGCTACCCATATTATCAAAAACTATGCAGTCTTTTTTTTTTTTTTTGAGACAAGGGTCTCACTCTGTTGCCCAGGAAGGAATGTGGTGGTGCAATCTTGACTCACTGCAACCTCTGCCTCACAGGTTCAAGTGATTCTCTTGCCTCAGCCTCCCAACTAGCTGGGATTACAGGCGCACACCACCACTCCCAGCTAATTTTTGTATTTTTAGTAGAGATAGGGTTTCACCATATTGCCCAGGTTGGTCTTGAACTCCTGACCCTGTGATCCACCTGCCTCAGCCTCCCAAAGTGCTGGGATTATAGGCGTGAGCCACCACGTACAGCTGCAGTCATTTTTTTTTTTTTTTTGAGACGGAGTTTCACTCTTGTTACCCAGGCTGGAGTGCAATGGCGCGATCTCAGCTCACCGCAACCTCCGCCTCCTGGGTTCAGGCAATTCTCCTGCCTCAGCCTCCTGAGTAGCTGGGATTACAGACACGCGCCACCATGCCCAGCTAATTTTTTGTATTTTTAGTAGAGACGGGGTTTCACCATGTTGACCAGGTTGGTCTCGATCTCTCGACCTTGTGATCCACCCGCCTCGGCCTCCCAAAGTGCTGGGATTACAGGCTTGAGCCACCGCGCCCGGCCCCAGTCATTTTTTTAAAGTTGTATTTAAAAAAAAATATTTGGGCTTGGCTCAGCAGATCATGCCTCTAATCCCAGCACTTTGGGAGGCTGAGGCAGGTGGATCACCTGAGGTTCGGAGTTTGAGACCCACCTGATCAACATGGAGAAACCCCCGGCTCTACTAAAAATGCAAAATTAGCTGGGCGGCCTACTTGTTCCTTTTGTAATTATAATTGGAGAGAAAACAAAAAATAAAAGATCTCCTTTGTAAGGAGATCTTTGTAAGGAATTTCTCCTACAGAAATTAGCAGAAGCAAAATGTTTTTATTTAGATAAAGCTGCTCATTGTGTAATTACCATTAAGACTGAAAAAGATAGCCGGGCGCAGTCGCTCAAGCCTGTAATCCCGGCACTTTGGGAGGCCGAGGCGGGTGGATCACGAGGTCGAGAGATCGAGACCATCCTGGTCAACGTGGTGAAACCCCGTGTCTACTAAAAACTCAAAAAATTAGCTGGGCATGGTGGTGTGTGCCTGTAATCCCAGCTACTCAGGAGGCTGAGGCAGGAGAATTGCCTGAACCCAGGAGGCGGAGGTTGCGGTGAGCCGAGATCGCGCCATTGCATTCCAGCCTGGGTAACAAGAGCGAAACTCCGTCTCAAAAAAAAAAAAAAAAAAAAAAAAAAAAAAAAAAGCTGTCATTGTTAACTGGAACGTGGAAGGCACTGCCACTTTGTGACTATATACACATGGCATGGCTGGAAGGGATATAGCAGAGACACTGGTTGGGTTTCCTTAGAGACTTTACCACTGATATTAGGTGGTCTTTTAAAAAAATATATGAATTTTTTTTACAGGGAAATAAAAAGAGAAGGGCATATTACCTGCCGCTTGATGGACTTGGACTTGTGTTGGTTTACAAATGCCTCCATTTCACTCAGCTCCAGCTGCAGAAAACTAGACACACACAGAACTGGCATCTGCAGGCCCCGGCCTGGCTGCACTCCTCCATCATTCTGGCAGCTGCTTCCTCCCCCTGGAGCCTCCCAAGCCCTGGCCCTCCACAGGGTCCTTACCTGAGTGACTGGACAGATAAAGGCTCCTCTGCTGTCTCCCTGCAAAGAGAGGGGCCAGCATGGCAGCTGAGTGGAGGAACAGAAACCTGGGCTTAGGTAAGAGGAAGGAGTTGGGAGGGATGAAGGGGAAGGCAGGCTCTCACCGGATGCTCTCCAGCATCTCCTTCAGGGTTAAGGGGTCGATCTGGTCCTGTGACAATGTGGGATTAGAAGGGAGAGCCTGTGAGCTCAAGGCAAGCAGGAAACTCAAAGCCCATGCCCTCAGAGAGCTCCACACTTCTGGATGTACCTCTTGGTCTCTGCCTCTCTGCCAGCCTACCTCTGTACTAAGCCCCAAGCTCATGCCCTTTATCTGAATCCAGCCTCAGGGCCATGTATATCATCGCCTTTATCAACACCTCCCCAAACTTCCCCCTTCTCCTGGTGTTTCCAGTCCTTCTTCTGATAGGCTCCTACCTTCTTTGGTTTCATCTCCCCCAAAGTTGAGCAGGGGTGTGGCTAGTGCAGAGGAATTTTCTGGGTTCTACTCTCCAAGGGGACTGGCTCCGTGCCTCTCTGGGAATGACTGCTGAGTAGCCAAGCACAGCATCTTGCCCAGAAGTGCCACCACTAGGCTGGGCAAGGTGGCTCATGCCTGTAATTCCAGCACTTTGGGAGGCCAACACAGGTGGATCATGTGAGGCCAAGAGTTCGAGACCAGCCTGGCCAACATGGTAAAACCCCATCTCTACTAAAAAAAATACAAAAAATTAGCTGGGTGTGATTGCCAGCACCTGTAATCCCAGCTACTTGGGAGGCTGAGGCAGAAGAATTGCTTGAACCTGGGAGGCACAGGCTGCAGTGAACTGAGATCATGCTATTGCACTCCAGTCTGGGCAGGAATGAAACTGTCTCAAAAAAAAAAAAAAAAAAAAAAAAAAAAAGGTGCCACCACTGCTCTCTAAGATGGACTATAGCTGATCTCCTACCACCAGCCCACCTTCTTCCCAGGAGCCCAGCCCTCCTCACCCAGTGGCTGCCATCTTTGCCTTCTGGTTCCCAACTCCCATGTTATTTACCTCTTTGGCCTGGTTCCAAAGGTCTTGTTCCAGAGGGTTTGGAGGCAATTGGGGCAGGCTGAACTTGAAGTAGGGTCTGAGATTCTTATACACATAGACACAAGGGCCTGAAGCAAGTGCCAGAGCTGGGGTCCGGGGCTCATGTTGCTCCATGAAGAAGGTGGCGGCCGCAGCTGGCAGAGCAGGTAGCGGGCTTTCGGTCATCACCAGTGGTCCTTTGAGCACCTTCAGGCGGGGCTGCTGCCCACCAGGGCCAAGGTCCCCTACCACCAGCTGCAGGGAGAAGGTGGCTCATTCTAGGCTCAGGGTCTGAAGACCTTTCCACTTGACCCTCTTCTTGCCTTGTTGCTGGTGTGCATTAATTCATTTCTGCACCAACAAAGCCTTGGCCCTCAGGCTTTCAAGCTGCCTGACTTTGGGAAAGCTGACTAGCCTTTCTGAATCTCAGGTTTCCCACTTGCAAAATGAGAATACTTTCCTCATTGATATGTGGTAAAAATCAAATGAGATAATGAGTTACAGAACCTGGTAAGTGCTACTGAGGAGTAAGTGGCAGTTGATGTTTTTATTATTCATTTGGCAAACATGTCTTCCATGCCAGGCACTTCTAGAGAGACACTGGGACAGTGGCAGAGGTCAGTTGGGGAAGGGATGGGGACACCTGTATCTGGGCTGCTGAAGCCTGGTTTCCAAATGCATGGCAGGATGTGCTCTGTGGACACAGAGAGGGGAACCAAGCTCCTTGGTCTCTCAGTTTTCCACCCTCCAATCCATCTTCCAAGCTGCTGAAGCTGCCACACAAGCCCATTCCCCCGAATGAGGCCTGCAAGGCCCCTCTAATCTAGTTATCAACTTGTTTCCTATCGCCTTCCCATTTCTGTGTTCCAGACAGAAAGGGGATCCCCAAGAATGCCTGGATACTGAGCATGTAGTATGTGCCAGGGACCACATCAGAAACTGCATGCAACCTTTAACTCTCTCAACAATCCTACCATTATTATTATTATTTTTGAGACGAAGCGTTGCTCTTATTGCCCAGGCTGGAGTGCAATGGCCTGATCTCGGCTCACAGCAACCTCCGCCTCCCAGAATCAAGTGATTCTCCTGCCTCAGCTTTCCAAGTAGCTAGGATTACAGGCATGCACCACCACACCCAGCTAATTTTGTGTTTTAGAGATGGGGTTTCTCTACGTTGGTCAGGCTGGTCTTGAACTCCCAACCTCAGGTGATCTGCCCACCTCGGCCTCCCAAAGTGCTGGGATTACAGGCATGAGCCACCATGCTTGGCCTAACAATCTTATTATTATTATTATTATTATTATTATTTTTTTTTTTTTTTTTTTTGAGACGGAGTTTCGCTCTTGTTACCCAGGCTGGAGTGCAATGGCGCGATCTCGGCTCACCGCAACCTCCGCCTCCTGGGTTCAGGCAATTCTCCTGCCTCAGCCTCCTTAGTAGCTGGGATTATAGGCATGCGCCACCATGCCCAGCTAATTTTTTGTATTTTTAGTAGAGACGGGGTTTCACCATGTTGACCAGGTTGGTCTCGATCTCTCGACCTTGTGATCCACCCGCCTCGGCCTCCCAAAGTGCTGGGATTACAGGCTTGAGCCACCGCGCCCGGCCCCAATCTTATTATTTTTAAGAGACTGGGTTGGCTGGGCGTGGTGGCTCACGCCTGTAATCCAAGCACTTTGGAGGTGGAGCGGGGGCGGATTACCTGAGGTCGGGAGTTCAAGACCAGCCTAACCAACATGGTGAAACCCTGTCTTTAAAAAAAAAAAGAGAGAGACTGGGTCTTGCTCTGTCACCTAGGCTGGAGTTCAGTGGTGCGATCACAGCTCGCTGCAGCCTTGAACTCCTGGGCTTAAGCAATCTTCGCACCTTAGCCTTCCAAGCAGCTGGGACTACAGGTGTGCACCACTACACCAGCTTTCAACAACCTTATGAAGTAGGTGCCATTAGTAGCCTCATTTCTCAAATGAGGAAGCTGTGTCTTAGAGATGTTAAATAAAAGTCACACAGCTATTAAGTGGGATAGCTAGGTCTGTCTGAATCCAAAGCCATAGTCTTAACTACTATTTTATGTGGTAGTTATTTTATATAGGCCTCAACTTTCTAACTTCACATTTACTCTTTCCAAATATGCTATGAACTTCTAAGCCTCTGGGCTTCTGCTTGTGCTGTTCCTTCTACCTGAAATGCCTTCCCCATCCTCTCATCCTTGCCTTCTTCAGAGATTTTATTCATCTTTCAATGCCCAGTTCACACATTACTGCCTCCTGGTACCTCCAGATGGAATCCATTGTTCTCACTGGTACTCCCATATTACTTTCTACATGTTCAATTTTAGCATCTACTCACTTCCCCACAAATATTTATCAAGTACCTACTTTGTCCCAGGTACTGGGCTAGATGCTAGGACTCAATGCTGAATAAACTGGCTATTAAACATTCTATTACGTGAAGATACTTAATATTTCTTTTTTTTTTTTTCCCCAGGCGGCACTGAAGGAAAACATTTCTTATTAGCTACTGTGTCTATGGTTTCTCCTCCCTCACTATTGTAAGCCCAGGGCCAAACACAAAATAGGCATTCAATCAATATCATGAAATAATTGTCAAGTGGTGTCTGTATCTCCTCCTATGTGATGACGGATTTCTGAATAAGGTGTCCCCATAACGCCTGACACACAGTAGGGACTCACTATACACTTCTCACTATACACTTGCTGAATTACTGAATGCATTATGGATAGGAATTTGGGGGCAAAAACCACTGGGTCCTATTCCAAATGGGGTAGGATTTCAGGACTATCTTCTAGCCACCCACATGATATAGCCATTGCAGTGTCGTTGCCTATAGTAAGGGCTGAGCTATGGTAGAAAAGTACAGGACTTGGAATCAAACAGACCCAGTTACAAATTCAATAAACTTAACTTCTTTGAAACTATTTTCCCATTAACAAAATGGGAATAAATAAAATCTGTGTTTATGAATGTGCCTCCATGGAAGGTCTAGTCCAGAAATGGATACTGAATCCACGCTAACTTCATTTCTTTTATCCCAATACACTTCTCTACCTTTAAAAAACGTTATGTCTTTTTAAACTTATTTTTATATATATATATTTTTAATTTTTAATTTTTAATTTTTTTAATTTTTTTTTTTTTTTTGAGACAGAGTTTCGCTCTTGTTACCCAGGCTGGAGTGCAATGGCACGATCTCAGCTCACCGCAACCTCCGCCTCCTGGGTTCAGGCAATTCTCCTGCCTCAGCCTCCTGAGTAGCTGGGATTACAGGCACGTGCCACCATGCCCAGCTAATTTTTTTGTATTTTTAGTAGAGACGGGGTTTCACCATGTTGACCAGGATGGTCTCGATCTCTTGACCTCGTGATCCACCCGCCTCGGCTTCCCAAAGTGCTGGGATTACAAGCTTGAGCCACCGCGCCCGGCCTATATTTTTATTTAAGTGTGTGTGTGTGTGTGTGTGTGTGTGTGTGTGTGTGTATTTGAGACTGAGTCTCACTCTGTCATCCAGGCTGGAGTGTAGTGGCACAATTTCAGCTTACTCAACCTCTACCTCCTGGGTTCAAGTGATTCTCCTGCCTCAGCCTCCCAGGTAGCTGGGATTACTGGTGCCTACCACCATGCCCGGGTAATTTTTGTATTTTTAGTAGAGACAATTTTTCACACATGTTGGACAGGCTTGTCTCAAACTCCTGAGCTCAAGTGTACCACCCACCTCAGCCTCCCAAAGTGCTGGGATTACAGGCATGAGCCACCATGCCCAGTCTTAAAATTAAATTTAAAATTTAACCTTTTTCTATGGAAAATTTTCATTCACATACAAAAGTGGAGAGACTCACATAATGAACCCCGATATACCCCATTATCCAGCTTCGACAATTGACAGCTTATGGCCAATCTTAAAATCTCTTGATAAACATAAAACTCTCGCTTCCCTCCCTTTTACTTTCCCTCCAGATTCTAATAACCACCCCCAACCAAGGGATTTGCCCTTCCAACAAGAAAACCATGTTAACTAAATTAAGAGGCTTTGTCTTAATACAATCCCCAGAAATATTTTATCTGCTTTACTTTCTGCAGTCTGTATTATGAAATCAGTAAGTTCTCTTCACTTTCCACATAAAAACAAAATTTAACGCGAAATGTGCTTTTTCATAGTATATGTGAATTCCAGAGTATGCTGGGCCTCTTTTCAGCCGTCGGAAAATCTTATTTCTGGGTACACCTCCCTGTCCCCAACTCTCCTGCTAGGGTAATATGCTTACCTTGTATTCCCCATCCCCATGCAAATCTGCCAGCGCTGGAAAACAAAAGGGCCAAAACCAGGGTCTCAGAATCCCAGAGGCTTCACTACAGGACCATCGTCTGATTCCCCATCCCCCTATAAGCCAGGGTTCCTGGTTCCAGAGACTCACCTAGGCAGGCAGAAAAGGTGTGGATGTTGGCCATTGGGTCGTAGTGCGCATCCAACCATTTCGAATTGGTCTCATTGCTGGAAGTGGGGGAAAGAGAGTTGGGGAGTGAGTCCCACAGGAGGGGAAGAAAACTTAGAGCGAGCTGGTACAGGTCACTCATGAACATAAGATTAGAACGTCTGGGTACAAGTCCGGGGCTTCGCCACTGGCTCACCGAGCGACCTCCAGACACAAACATGCACATCTTGGGCCTCGGTTTCCCTATGTGACATCTAAGAGTCCTTCCAGACTGCCCGAGAACAGAAGCCCAGAGCCCGGGGACCAAGGGACCCTCTTTACACGGGAAGGAAAGGAGGCTTTGAGGAGCTCCGCCTTCACCTCTCAGCTCCGCAGCCGTCGGAATCCGATGAGGACACAGCGGCCATCTTGGCAGACGTCGTCCTGGCAACCAGCCCCGCCCCTGCCGCCGCGTAACGCCCAATAGTGCCCGAGCGCTGGGAAGCGCAAGTACAAAGGTTCCGGGCGCCAGGCTTTCCCAGCCAGGCTCAGGGTCCCCGAGGGAGGACGCACTGGCCACCTTCCTGGGTTGAGGAATCTCTCTTCCCAGCTCATTTATCTTTGTTCCTTTCCAATGAGAGCCACCTTTCCAGGTGTTTGGGTCCTTCGATCTCTGGGTCAGCCACAGGGCCCTCTGGCTTCCAGGGTTGGAAAGAAGCCCCTTCTAGCATTTATGAGCAGCAAAACGAACTTCTGTCACCATCTTCATGGCTACCCGGTGAGGAGCCATGTCCTGTCTTGCTGCCTTATTCTAGAGGTCCAGGCACAGAGAAACAAAACACGAGGGTTAAGGGGCAAATGCAGACCATTCTGACTGAAGTTGAGTTTGTAAGTTCCCAGAACATTTAAAAATGCAAGAAGGCTGGGCGCGGTGGCTCATGCCTGTAATCCCAGCACTTTGGGAGGCCGAGGCGGGTGGATCACGAGGTCAGCAGTTCGAGACCAGTCTGGCCAACATAGTGAAATCCCGTCTCTACTAAAAATACAAAAAATTAGCCGGGCATGGTGGTGGGCGCCTGTAATCCCAGCTACTCAGAAGGCTGAGGCAGGAGAATTGCTTGAACTCGGGAGGAGGAGGTTGCAGCGAGCCAAGATCGCACCATTGCACTCCAACCTGGGCAACAAGGGTGAAACTCCGTCTCAAAAAAAAAAAAAAAAAAAAAAAAAAAAAAAAAGCAAGAAATGCCACAAAGGAGGGCTGCAAAAATCATGCTGTGTTCACCTCTGTGACTGTATATCCTCATCTAGAGATAATGTCAACATCTTGTTACGGAAGGGAGGCTTTCCCCCTCCCCAGGCCTTGAGCTCATCACCCTCCTGCTGGGAGCAAATGAGAAGTCAGACAAAGGCAAGGAAGAGCCACACACGCCGCAAAGATGGTGGTTGTCTCTGATATTTATTTGTCTGGTTATAAAATTAATACGTGAGGAGCATTGGATTTGGTGAGAAGGTTTTGAACCCTAGCTGTCACGTGCCTCCTGCAGGATCTAGACCAGTGACTTCTCAGAACTGCCATTTCCTCATCTGGTAGATGGGATGGTGAGCCCTGTCTTGCTCACCCCACACATGGCAGTGCAGATGAAATGAGATCAGAGGGGAAGCACTTGGCAAGCTGGAAAGTGCTGACAAATGGAAGCGGTTAGTGTCACCACCCTCAGCTGAGGTAGTACCAAGGTCCATGCTCCTGCCCCTTCCCCTCCCCTAGCCCCTAAATACACACATGAATGGAGGGCCACTTGCAGCCTTAGTTTGATGGAGTTGGGGGAGAGGCCACACACATCTTCCTCAAGCCTGGCCGGATGGGGCCTCACTGGGGCCCTTCCAGAATCGGGCATCGGCTGTGGCCAGCTGTGTGAGGATCTCCTCCAGCTCAGGCCCATCCTCTGGGAAACGCTCAGAGAAGGATCGGATAAGGCCAGCAGCTGAGGCCTCGTATTCCAGAAGCTGCACATCTGAGCCTGGGGAGGAGATGGAGAGAAAAGAGCAGCAGGAAAAGGTCTGAATTGGGATACTAAATCATCCTAATAGTCAATAATCACAATCACAGCAGCAACTGTTTCTTACTGAGCTCTGCAAAAAAACCCCAAAAAAACAAAAAACAAAAAACAAAACTGTGCTCTACATTTTAGGTTAATTACTTAATTCAATCTTTACACTAACCCTGTGAGGAAGGAAATACTACAGAGGGAGTATTAAATGCATGGCTACTTTCATTCATTCATTCAGTCAGTCAAATAAAGATTTGGGAAGCCAAGGCGGGAGATCACCTGAGGTCAGGAGTTTGAGACCAGCCTGGCCAATATGGTGAAACGCTGTTTCTAATAAAATACAAAAAAATTACTCGGGCATGGTGGTGTGTAGCTGTAGTCCCAGCTACTTGGGAGGCTGAGGCTGGAGAATCGTTTGAACCTGAATGGCGGAGGCTGCAGTGAGCCGATTGTGCCACTGCATTCCAGCCTGGGTGACAGAGTGAGACTCTATCTCAAATACATACATACATACATACATACATACATACATACATACATACTAAACTAAACTAAATAAATAAATAATAAAATATTTGGCTGGGTGCAGTGGCTCATGCCTATAATCCTAGCACTTTGGGAGGACAAGGTGTATGGATCACGAGGTCAGAAGTTCACGACCAGCCTGGCCGATATGGTGAAACCCTATCTCTACTAAAAATACAAAATTAGCTGGGCATGGTGGTAGGCACCTGTAATCCCAGCTCCTCGGGAGGCTGAGGCTGGAGAATCGCTTGACCCAGGAGGAGGAGGTTGCAGTGAGCTGAGATTGCACCACTGCCTGTGGGACAGCGTGAGACTCTGTCTCAAAAAATAAAGTTTTTATGGTACATCACCCATCACCATGGCAGCCTTTGAAAATCCAAACTGTTCTTCAGATCTAGTGGGAACCACCACTTCCTCCCCAGAACGTTCCTGGATACTCTTGAAGATGGATGCGATTTTCCCTCCTCTAAGTGTTTAGAGTTTTGTTTATATCTTTTGACTATTCATTAACATTTCCCTTGTATGATGATTTGTCTCCATATCTTATCATCCCCAATAAGCTGTGATCACCTTTGGATCCCCAGTGGCTCCTCCATAGCTTGCACAGGGCTAGACATAACAAAGCAATTGATGATACTGTCCACGTGGCTGACATGATTTGTTAATGCACTCATTTGGATCTATAAGAATCTTTTTTTTTTTTTTTTTAAATAGAGACAGGGTTTTGCCATGTTGGTCAGGCTGGTCTTAAACATCTGCCTCAGCCTCCCAAAGTGCTGGGATTACAAGCATGAGCCACCGTGCCCGGCCTCATTTGACAGTCACTGAGCAGCTCCAGTGTGCCAGGTTGTGCATGAGGCACTGGGGTATGCTGCTCCTGCCATCATGAGATGTGACCAGCAAGAAGATGGGCAAGTGTGATGGGCACATGAAGAAAATGAAGCTGGGTGGAAGAACAGAGAGGGACTGAAGCAGTTACTTTAGGCCGAGGGGGTCAGAGACAACCTCTCTCACAAGGTACCATTTTACAAGGACCTGAAGGACAAAAAGAATCAGACAGGCAGCTGGGCGCGGTGGCTTATGCCTGTAATCCCAGCACTTTTGGGAGGACGAGGCAGACGGATCACAAGGTCAGGAGTTTGAGAACAGCATGGCTAACACGGTGAAACCCCATCGCTACTAAAAATACTAAATTAGCCAGGTGTGATGGTGCATGCCTGTAATCCTAGCTACTCGGGAGGATGAGGCAGGAGAATCACTTGAACCTGGAAGGCAGAGGTTGCAGTGAGTGGAGATCGCACCATTGCACTCCAGCCTTGGTAATGGAGTGAGACTTGGTCTCAAAAAAAAAAAAAAAGAAAGAAAAGAAAAGAAAAGAACCAGACAGGCAAAGATCTGGAGGAAGATCATGCCAAGCAGTGAGAACAGTCTATTCAAAGGCTATAGGACTGGAGCGAGCTCAGTGAGTAGAAGAAACAGAAGGGTCAGGAGCCTGGAGTACAGTGAGCCAGGGAAGAGGTGGTGAGGCTGGCAAGGGCTGGGGCCAACTCTCAGGAAGCCTCCTGAGGGCATGGAAAAGCATCTAGAGTGAGCCTTTTTTTTTTTTTTTGAGACAGAGTCTCGCTTTGTCACGAGGCTGGACTGCAGTGGCGCAATCTCAGCTCACTGCAACCTCTGACTCCCTGGTTCAAGTAGTTCCCCTGCCACAGCTTTCTAAGTAGCTGGGATTATAGGTACACATCACCATGTCCAGCTCATTTTTCTATTTTTAGTAGAGATGGGGTTTCACCATGTTGGCCAGGACGATCTTGATCTCCTGACCTCACAATTCTCCCGCCTCAGCCTCCCAAAGTGCTGGGATTACAGGAGTGAGCCACAGCGCCAAGCCAAGCCTCTTAATAAATGCTTTTTCCACTGGGCATGGTGGCTTATGCCTGTAATCCCAGCACTTTGGGAGGCTAAGGAAGGTGGATCACTTTTTTTTTTTTGAGACAGAGTTTCGCTCTTGTTACCCAGGCTGGAGCGCAATGACGCAATCTTGGCTCACCGCAACCTCCGCCTCCTGGGTTCAGGCAATTCTCCTGCCTCAGCCTCCTGAGTAGCTTGGACTACAGGCATGTGCCACCATGCCCAGCTACTTTTTTGTATTTTTAGTAGAGACGGAGTTTCACCATGTTGACCAGGATGGTCTCGATCTCTCGACCTCGTGATCCACCCGCCTCGGCCTCCCAAAGTGCTGGGATTACAGGCTTGAGCCACCGTGCCCGGCCGAGGGTGGATCACTTTGAGCTCAGGAGTTTGAGATCAGCCTGGCTAACATAGAGAAACCCTGTCTCTATAAAAAATATAAAACTTAGCTGGCTGTGTAGTCCCAGCTACTTGGGAGGCTGAGGTTGGAGAATCACTTGAGCCTGGAAAGCAGAGTCAAGGTCTGCAGTGAGTCAAGGTCGCACCACTGTACTCCAACCTGGGTGACAGAGTGAGACCCTGTCTCAAAAAATAAATAAAAATAAATAAGGCCAAGTGTGCTGGCTCACGCCTGTATTCTTAGCACTTTGAGAGGCCAAGGTGGGCCGATCACTTGAGGTCAGGAGTTCGAGACCAGCCTAGCCAACATAGTAAAACTCTGTCTCTACTAAAAAATATACAAAAATTAGCCGGGTGTGGTGGGTGATGCCTGTAATCCCAGCTACTCAGGAGGTTGAGGCAGGCCAATTGCTTGAACCCAGGAGGCAGAGAGGTTGCAGTGAGCTGAGACTGCACCACTGCACTCTAGCCTGAGTGACAGAGTGGGACTCCATCTCAAAACAAACAAACAAAAATAAATAAATAAATGCTTTTTCCTCACCAATAGTAGGTAATGATTTTTACAAATATTATTCTATTCAACCCTCATTAACTGCCCA